TTCCAGCTGAGCGTCTGACTCTGGTGTTGATGGTGAGCTGGACTCTGGGCCAGAACCTGTCGTCAGAGAGAATTTACAGATGTATTAGGTTTGTATAAAAACAGAGGTGACATTAAGGAAACAATATTTGTTTTTACATGACAGAAGGTGACTTTATTACGGCAGCCATGTTCTGGACATAGCCCTCACCCATTACTTCCTGTTTGTTTCCAGATATTTCTTTCTCCCTTTCATTTGTGAAATAAAAGTGTGTCCTGAAGCTTTTGACTCAGTCTGTACATCGTCTGCTGTGTTTGGGGTCATTGTGCTGTTGGACCCAGTTTGGTCCAAACTTCAGCTGTCAGACAGATGGACCCACATTTGACTCTAGAACCCTTTGAAGGAGCTCATGGTCCACTCATCCAGCCATCTGCCCTCCACAACTGTGCTGACAGCTGGGAGGTGTTTCTGGTTTTTACAGAACCTGCTGTTGTTTAAAGTACTTTGGTCCAGATGTTCTGTGGTTCATTCAGATGTCTCAAACCAAATTCCTCTCTGTGTTTTTCAAAAGAAGAACTTATCTCCTTGACGAAACAACCCAAACTTTTTTGAGTTTGCCTGTCATGAATTTTAACATTTAACCTGCTAACTGAGACCTAACTGGGTTTATTTTGTTGTTTTTTTGACCTCAGGTGGAAAGTTTGACAACTTTCCTGAAAGTCACTTTTCTATCAAATCATGAGTTCAGTTTACAATTCTCCCCACAATGATAGGCAGGAACAGTCCCTTCTCTGAGATTGTAACTGAAGTCTTGGTATTTTTACTTCAGCACTTGACACCTGAAACTTCCTTTATGAACTGAAAGTCACATTGTACTGTCAGTGTTAGGTACAATCCACTTGTTGAGTTAAAGTCACATGTTGGAACCACAAAAACGTTGCTGTGAAAAGGCTGCATAAACTTGTTCTGTATCTCGTTCCCTCTCTCCATCAGCAGCGTTTTAAAGATGTAATTAAATCCAACTGAACATTTGCAGCAGCACAGCTTGATGGGTCTTGCTAATTGGTTTCACATTAGGAACTTTAATCAGGACTGCAGCTTTAGGAGAGTGTTTTTTTTTTTTTTTTTGCACCGTACTGTTTGGCTGTACATGGCCTCGGTGTGTTCAGGTGTTGACTGGAGTGCAATGGAGGTTCCCCTTTTGAAGTTGAAAAATTCCGGTTTTTGAGTAAATCTGAACAAGTATGCATCTCTTCTTCAAAGAATTATTGTTTGCACAAATGTTCTTACTAATGCGAGTAAAAAAATAATCTTCATTAGCTGATGCACAGCGAGCTGAGATTTGGCTGCTTGGAACAATAGTTGGCTTTTACTCTGAACAATGACTTTKCTATGGATATGTTACTGGCTTGGGAGTGTGCCGAGGCAGTCAACCAACTGGGGAGAGATAACAGTGTTACTATTAAATGGGTACCAGGACATACTGGCATCTATGGTAATGAGAGAGCTGACCACCTTGCAAGAGTTGGCAGTCAAGCCCACTTTAAAGGACCAGAGCCTGCTATAGGCATTTCAACAACAATCTGTAGGACTGCCCTACAGGCCTGGATCAGACGTCAACACTCAGTCCATTGGAGGGAGCTGACGGATTGCAGACAGGYACGAGAACTGATAAATGGCCCAAACCCTTGGTTTGGAAGAGCACTTCTTGTCCTGACGAGGAAAACTTTAAGTACTTTTGTTGGAGTCCTAACTGGGCACAACTTGCTCAATCACCATAAAATAGTGATGGGACTCCATGAAAATGGTCTGTGTGGCCTGTGGCATTGAGTTAGAGACCTCTTTGCACTACTTGGGCCACTGCCTGGCCCTGAGTAGTCAAAGGGAAAGAATTCTTGGAGAAACTTTTATGGATCCTGAGAAGCTCAGAACACTGAGTGTTTCTACACTGGTGTCGTTCTTTCGAGGGACACGAAGGTTTGATTAAAACCTCAGTGTCTCTTTTGGGGAGAGTAATGAGCCCACTTATGAGGCCCCYGCTCACATGGATTTCACCCACCCCCATATACCAAAACCATAACCATG